TGCACGACACGACCGCTGTGCCCCTTTTAGTTCTGCGACTGACTCCAAGCTGTAGAGGGACTACAAATTTCAGCACATTATACAACAATGCAAAATACCATCAGCTATAGAGGACTATAAATCCCAGCAATACATTATACAGCAATGCAGAATAATAGTATATTAAAATGCTACATACTCTTTGCTGCTCTGCTCGGGGGTGTCAGCCTGATGTCTTGGTCAGAGGGTCTCAGGAGGGGTGTGGAAGGTCTCAGAATAGGTGGGGAGGGTCTTAGCAGGGGGAGATGTGAGGGCGGCGTAGCAAACGCAGTGCAGCAGACAGTTTGTAACGCAGTGCAGCAGTCAGCATGTAACATAGTGCAGCAGTCAGTATATAAGGCAATGCAGCAGTCAGTATATAAAGCAGTGCAGAGGCCAGTGGTCAATATGTAAGGCAGTGCAGCGGTCAATATGTAAGGCAGTGCAGCAGTCAGCATCTAACGCAGTGCAGCAGTCAGCATGTAACGCAGTGCAACAGTCAGCATGTAACGCAGTGCAGCAGTCAGCATGTAACACAGTGCAGCAGTCAGCATGTCATGCAGTGCAGTGGTCAGTAACGTAGTGCAGCAGTCAGCATGTAACGCAGTGCAGCAGTCAGCATGTAATGCAGTGCAGCAGTCAGCATGTAACGCAGTGCAGCGGTCAGCATGTAACGCAGTGCAGCAGTCAGCATGTAACGCAGTGCAGCAGTCAGCATGTAACGCAGTGCAGCAGTCAGCATGTAACGCAGTGCAGCAGTCAGCATGTAACGCAGTGCAGCAGTCAGCATGTAACGCAGTGCAGCAGTCAGCATGTAACGCAGTGCAGCAGTCAGCATGTAACGCAGTGCAGCAGTCAGCATGTAACGCAGTGCAGCAGTCAGCATGTAACGCAGTGCAGCAGTCAGCATGTAACGCAGTGCAGCAGTCAGCATGTAACGCAGTGCAACAGTCAGCATGTAACGCAGTGCAGCAGTCAGGATGTAACACAGTGCAACGGTCAGCATGTAACGCAGTGCAGAGGCCAGCGGTCAGCATGCAAGCATAACGCAGTAGAGTGGTCAGCATATAATGCAGTACAGCGGTCAGCATGTAACGCAGTGCATCGGTCAGCATGTAAGGCAGTGCATCGGTCAGCATGTAAGGCAGTGCATCGGTCAGCATGTAAGGCAGTGCATCGGTCAGCATGTAAGGCAGTGCATCGGTCAGCATGTAAGGCAGTGCATCGGTCAGCATGTAAGGCAGTGCATCGGTCAGCATGTAACGCAGTGCAGCAGTCAGCATGTAACGCAGTGCAGCGGTCAGTATGTAACGCAGTGCAGAAGCCAGTATATAACGCAGTGCAGAGGCCAGCGGTCAATATGTAACGCAGTGCAGCGGTCAGCATGTAAGGCAGTGCAGCGATCAGCATGTAACGCAGTGCAGCAACCAGCGGTCAGTATGTAACGCAGTGCAGCAGTCAGCATTTAACGCAGTGCAACGGTCAGCATGTAACGCAGTGCAGAGGTCAGCATGTAGTGCAGCGGTCAGCATGTAACGCAGTGCAGCGATCAGCATGTAACGCAGTGCAGCAATCAGTGGCCAGTATGTAACGCAGTGCAGAAGTCAGCATGTAACGCAGTGCAACGGTCAGCATGTAACACAGTGCAGAAGTCAGCATGTAACGCAGTGCAACAGTCAGCTCTAACGCAGTGCAACGGTCAGTATGTAACGCAGTGCAGAGGCCAGCGGTCAGCATGCAGTGCAGAGATCAGTATGTAACGCAGTCAGCATGTAACACAGTGCAGCAGTCAGCATGTAACGCAGTGCAGCAGTCAGCATGTAACGCAGTGCAGCGGTCAGTAGCGCAGTGCAGAGGTCACACAGAAAGAAGAGGGACTTACAGTGACTCTTTTCCTCTCCTGTTTCAGGTGCTGTGCCATCTTCTTTTCATCTCCTGGTGGGGGTAGGTGGGGGGAGCAGCAAGGTTTCCTGCACGTTTGGAGGTGATTCCAGCCACTTCCTGCTGTCCTCCCTTTAGGACCCAGCAGACAGGCAGTAGGAGTTAGGTCTCCCTCCAGCCAATAGCAGAAAAAGTGGGCGGAGGAAGCTGCCGAGGAGCCCGAACACTACACGGGCTGATCAAAGGCAGCCGAAGAGCTGCTTCTTCTCCTCCCAGGCTGCTGTAGGAGCAGAGCGGCCGACAGGGGAAAGATGAACAAAGTGATTGCTCCTGTGCCGGCGGAGGCCGTTTTTACAGTCACCAGAGAGGCTCGGGGGGCAATTGCCCCCCTGCCCCCCGGCCCAGTCCACCCCTGCCGCACCGGACCGCAGACACAATGTGCCTTGCGATCCCGCACGGGCGATCAAATTGTGGCCGGTGTGTGTGGCTACGGTGCCATTCACTTTAATGGCTCGCCACTCCCCCTCCTGCCCCACAAAAAAGTGAGCCGGCCGCAATGCGGTGCAGTGCGTTCCAGCCAGAATCGGACCGGAACGCACTGCATATGGTGTGAACTAACCCTTAGAGGTGATCACCAAAGATTCGAGTGACATTCACATTCATGTGAGCATTTGATGCTTGCACAGTGAATGCAAATGTCATTCAGATCATCCGATCATCTTTTTGCTTTTTGGGTGGGAATATCATTTATTATTATTATTTATTTTTGTTGTATTTTTTCAGCTCCTATGCTTATTACTGGGCAGCCGGCAATTTCAGCCTTAAAGGGGTTTCTAAACCCTCCGTTTTTTTTGCCTATATCTACTGCTATCAAAGCATCTTGGGGCGGGCGCATGCGCAGTTCGGATTCTTGGCCGGGAGACGAGTAGAGACGCAAGGTAAGTCTATGGACGCATGCACCCGCCTGCAGCCTGACAGAGGAGTCAGCGCTGGATCGGAGAGCCACCGCACCGCTGGAGGGACAGATGAAAACATCAGGAAAGAAGAGGAAGGTCGGATTAAGAGACATAATTTAAGGTAAGTGCTAACATTAACATTGGGGGGAGGGAAACAAAATATCCTTTAATGTCACATTAACTCTTGCCAACACCCTCAGGCTGATTCCCACCGATGCTATAAAACAGTGCTGGGACGAATAGCCACTATCCCAGCGCCGTTTTAACACAGTGACTGGGACTCAAGTAGTTAACAATGCTGCAATTACAGAAAAATACGCCTTGATCCTGTGAGAAATCCAATAAGCTCTTAACCAACCAACCAACAACAGCTTACACAGTCTATTCTGCCATAGATCTAGCAATCGGCAATTTTTTTTCACATTACTTCCAATATAAGCAGATGATATTGTTATCACAAATATTACAGGAATTTTTTTTTTTAAATGTGGCATTTGAACTAACAACCTATTAAACTTTTCCTGAACACCAGTCAGTTAATTACAACTGACTTCTCAAGTACTAGATGTGAATCAATGAATAGGTCCAGTTGATTCAATCAGATCTGTATGTGGTCTCCACTGTGTATAACCTTTGTTTAATGGTATCCACTGCACAATAAGTATACCCATGATGATGTATACAGACACAGTTCATATTCTGAAACTGGTCTTACTTAATTTCCCTTGACATTTCAGTTCCTACTGTGACATATGCTCATATCCAAAACCAACAAAACAGAACGCAACTGACCACATATGAGAGGCATTTCGGAAAAGAGTATGTTGACCTTTCTGGTCTTGTAGCTTCACTGGATCCTGCAGAGATGGCGGGCTATCTCCAGAGTGTCCCTAATGAAGGTAATGGATGTCTTTATCATCTTTCTCTATACCATGATCTCTCTGAGAAGAAAATTGCTTTTTTGCACGACTTACATAACATTTCTTGCAACTGACAGAAAGAAGAATGCTTGAGAAGTTTCTAAAAGCCTTCCAGCAAAATGACAATCAACACTTAGAAACAAAATCAACTCAGACCAAATTAAATTGATGCGTGGAAGAAGACGTGACTTTCTGCTGCTAATCTGTGTGTGACAGTTCTTCCCTATAAGATGATCGCTGTGAAATTCTGGTGTTAAAGAAAGACTAAAAGGTTTTGATTTGCTTAAAGCTTAACTCCAGCTATAGAAATGTTTATGTACTTACATTGGTCCAGCTTGGCACAATGTAAATATATATAAATTATCCCTTGAAGGGTCATTGAAATTCTGTAAAACACTGTAGTAGTCGCAGTTATTACATTGCTTTGCAGCAAACGTCTGTGTCCAGGAACAGCCGCTGTGCTGAGCGTCTTCCCCTCCGCGGTTAAAACGCAGAGGGTCCCTCCCTGAGCACAAACACAGTGTTCCCTGATTGAATGAGTAACGGTTACGTCACAGTGTCAACAGCGGAGGGGAATTTGCTTAGCTCAGCGGCTGGTCCAGTACCTGAAAGATCACTGTTAGAAACTGTGGAGCTGCGGCTGCAACAGTGTTTTACAGGATGCTCATGGCCCTGCCAGGGATTATACACTGCCTGGCCCAAAAAAAGTTACCACGTGGCTTCAGCTAAGCAAATAGGTAAGAGTCATCAGTTGGTCAGGTCTAGGTTCAGCAATGTTATGTCGTCAAAAAATGAGGTCAACTCTCTTCCTGAATGTATTGAATGAACAGATTTTTCCATTTGTCTTCCCTGATGGCACATTGGGCATATTCCCATATTGTGGGTGACAATGGCAGGATTCATCACACTCAAATTGTGAAAAAGTGATTCAGGGAGCATAATACATCATTTTAACACATGGGTTGGCCACCATAGAGTCCAAACCTTACCTCCTTTGAAAATATTTGGGATGTGCTGAAGAAGACTTTACACAGTGGTCTGATTCGCCCATCTTGGTGAAAAATGCTACTGGACAGAAAGAAATGTGATATTGCATAAGCCTATCAAAACGATGCCACGGCAAATGCATGCTATGATCAAGACTAAAAGCGGTCCAACACAATATTATAGTGTGTGACTTTTTTGGGGTCATTCAGTATATAAACATACATATATACAGTATATACAGGGCTTGAAAAACTTTAGCGTGTCTCACCAGTCAGTCAAACGTTTCACCAGTCAGCATGACCGGACTAAAGACTTGCAATTTATATTAACATTTTTTGGTGACACATAGAGCTTTATTTTGGAGGTATATAATCACCACTGAGGTTTGTATTTTTTACTATATAATTAAATAAGTACCGTAAATTTCGAGAGAAAAAAAATGTTTTCCTTGCGCCTTGTAATAAAACATTTATTCTTACCCTTATTTTTGGTAAAATATAAAAGACGGGGTCACGTCAGGGAAATAGACACCAAACATGTCAAGCCTTAAAAAAGACCACACCGAAAATTGGCCATAGGTGACGCTTTAAAAGCTTTTACTGCTCATCAGTTTAGTGTTATCAGTGATTAATGGCCCTAAAATTATTGCTCGCACTCCGACGTTCGCGGTGATATGTAACATGTGCGGCACAATAGGCGCAATCGCACGTGGGCGCACCCGATGCATGTTTGCGTGTGTATGTGGGGGGCGGGGGACTTTAAAAAAATTTTTTTTCTTATTATTCTTTAGTTTTTTTTATTACTTAAATAAAGTTAAGATTATTATTTAACTTTATTGCTATCACATGGGGGGCTAAGAAGCTCCCTATGTGATAGCCAATTTACATGACAGGTCCTCTGTATGGAGACATCAGGGGTTTCCAAGAACCCTAATGTCACCTAGTGACCCCCAGAGAATCTGATGGATCAGAGATCTGCTTCACCAGCTTCTCCCCATATTCTGTAGCTGTGAATTACAGCAGAATGCAGAAGTGATGTAATATACATCACTTCCTGCATTCGGGTACCGGAGAGGAGATCAGAGGAATATTGTATACTGAACTCCCTTTGATCGCCTGTCAGAGAGCAGTAGTGCCAATCCTGGCCACAGCAGTGACAGCGGCGGCTGCTGGGGTGGGGGAGGTGTTGTGTTAAGCCTGCAGCTAATGCAAGCGATCGGTCGTCGCCAGAGACGCCCAAACTCTTGAATGTAAAGCTCCCCGCCGGCCGTTGTAATTAAAACGGCCGGCGGGGAAGCTACTCGTCCAGCTCCGGCGTCCTCTCGTCTGTGAGTGGATTTTTCAAGCCCTGTATATATATGTGTGTGTATGTATATGTGTGTGTGTATATATGTGTATGTGTGTATAAGTATGTATGTGTATATATATATATATATGTACATACATTATGCCAAACTGGACCAATGTAAGTATATTATTATTATACAGGATTTATATAGTGCAAACAATTTGCGCAGTGCTTTACAAAATGGAGGAGACATTACAGTTACAATACAATTTACAGTACAGTACAATTTCAGTACAATAGGGTTAGGAGGGCTTCCAATCTAGTAGAATATATATATATACATTTCTATAGCTGGAATTTAGCTTTAATTCATAAAATGGCCTTTCTTTGTGTGCTTCTATCCTGTGTAGTATTCTGTAGAGATCCTTCCTTCATTCACTTGCAAAAATCCTATTTTTATCAGAAGTTGATTTCAATTTTTATTGCAGTGGCACCTGCTCCTGAAATGTGTTGCTGTAATATAGCTCTGCTGAACTGGGTCACTTTAAACAAGCAATGTCTCTGGAACATTCCACAGAGGGCCCTATTAGCTAATACTGTATCTGTAAAATTATAATACATTATTCTTTGTACTACTTTTTCTTTGGTTACCCAAGGCAATAATAGATTACTTGTTCTTGCCCACTCTCCAGGTAGCCATAATCGGATTGAATTGGTAGAGCGACCCTTAAATGGTGGACAGGCAGGAGAAAACATGCAGTCCAGGACTGGACAGTCCATTTTTCACGAAGAAATTTTACAAATATTGGCAGCAATACAATTTCACATTCTTATTTCTTACAACAATTTCAAGGTGTTCTTTTCAAAAATGTGTCTCCAACTTAGCACAGTCCTGTTACAGATGGTTCTTCTTCTCTTAGAAAGGGTTAAGAGCCTTGCTTGAGCTCAAAAGGGTGAATGAGCCTCTCAGCTGGGGCCAGCTTGATCTGAGCCATTCCTGGTGATCACTCTGCGGTGTTTTTGTTTAGTTTTTTTGTAAATGATTTATAATCCTGAAGAAGTAGGGTGAATAGCAAACAGAACAATTGACAAGTAAACTGCTCGTCAAGACAGCAAGACATGCATAGGTTAAAATTAAACCACAGTAACAGGTATGCATTTGAAACTCCATGACAATCCTTTGCAGCTGGAAATGTACATCAAAAGTATGGGTTCGGTTCCCCACTCTACGAAATCCAACCATTTTTAAATTAACATAACTATCAAGAGAGTGAACACAATAATAGAAGAGGACAAGAATAAAAATAGCAGAAGAAACACACACTTACAAGGCAATAAAGACCGGAAGGCTAAAAAAAAAAAAAAAGAAAGAAGGGGCACAGACAAGAGAAGGAAGTATAGGGAGTGCTGGTGGTGGGGGGAAAGCTGGCCTCCCCTTATGGAACAGCACTTGCCAGCATGGTATTCTATTCTAACTCACTGCCCAGTTGAGTTAGCAACAATGCATCCCATAGAAGTGGAATTTTCTGGCATTTATTAACCAGTATAATCTAAAATGCTGCACTACAAGATATCCACTGTGATCTGTATAACTCATGTATTATCTCATTACATTGTCATGGTGCAGCCATAGATATATAGTGGTGTTCTATGATCATCTTATCTGACAGATCAAACTTCTGTCCACTAAATAATGTAAATAACCGTTTGATGAGGGTCTCCTGGTTCCCTACAAAGACACTATGGTAAGACAGTGTCCTGTATGTAAATACATCAAGATGTTAGAAGCAAAACGGAATTTTACATTCTAGCTGAAAATCCAATTTAAATACTGCAGGAAGTGAGGAAATGGCTTTGTTCTTGTTGTGAGTATGTGTAAACTATGGGCTTCATTGTCTTCCCTTGCTCTTTTCCATACTAACAATCCTTAAAGGTACAAAATTTATATAAAAGATTTACTAATAGTATGTACAGATATTCATTTATATACAATATGTGTGTACTTCCATACTGTCTCACATCACATACCTTCATTGAAAATAAAAATCATCCTAAACTAGCATACATTTACAAAGGTTTATGAACACATCCCCTAATTTACTACTTACTAATTTCATCAAGCTAAAAGGAGTACAATCCATGATGTAATTGGCCATTTAAAGCAACCCTGTCACACAAAGAGAAAAAAAAAGGTTCCCTTGTAAAGAAGAGATATCATACTTTTGTGTCTCACTTCAACACCGCCGATCTTCATTCTATTTAAGACCTATGGTGCTCTTCATCCAACACACTTCTGGGAGTGAGGGATTCCTGGTTCCCTGCTGAGCGCAGCAAGATAAACAGACATTTTTTTTAGAGTAGTAGACGAAGACTAAAATTCCATTATGCTTTTTAAGTCTGTATGTGTCCCTGTTGGAGATTTCCCCTCACTTCCTAATTGGTGAAATCGTTGTCACCGTGACAGTAGGTAAGTGATTATTTCTCTAATGGAGTCCAGATAGCAGAAAATCCCAACAGGGGTTCTAATGCTTCCCTGCGCTGTCCACAACTATAGTAAAAAATCTTGGCTGGACCTATACTTTAAGTACCAAAAAACTTAAATTAAAGCTGAATGCCAACCAGACATTTTAGGGGTTTATTACGGTGTGTACCGCCTCAATGTGGACATCTAAAACTAATAAGGAAAAGCATACGCATGTGAACTTGTGCTTCAAGTATCTCTTGTTAATTGCAAGAATAATTATACCTAGAAGGCTTTTGAAGGTTAAATATTTCTCACATAATTGTTTGTTATGTGACATATGCATTTAGCTCTTCAGTTACACATGTTAGTAGGTCAGCCTCACATGTCTCCTGTCAGGCAGCAATTATTATTATATTAGTTCTGGGTTTAGACGTGACTATGCGGATATTACAAAACTAAATTGTTCACTAGGGGCTTTGGTTTTTCCGAAATTTCTCACAGTAACATGCATTTGACATTTGTTCATGCTATGCC